AATCGTTAATGCTTGTGACGAGTGCACGTATTTGCATGTTGTAATAAGTCAAACTTCATAAATTGTCTTTCATATTAATTAGAATCAACTAATAATAATATAGTGATTTTCAAAAAAACAATTATGGATATTACTAAGCAACTGTTATCTAATATGTAATGTTTTTCGAAATCCTAATGATTTTCGAGCATATATCTGAACGAGTCTTGGAATAAAATATCGGTAGGTACATTTATATGAGGTCAAATATGTCCCTTTATGATTTACAAAACCACAATATAGATTCAGCCCCATTTTCATTTGTTACAGGTTGAATAAAATTAGACCTTTATTCAATAAACACATAATAATGTAATTAAGTGCATTTTGCAAGAAGAGATCAACCTGTAGAGCAGCTGGGCCGATCCTCCACGTGTCGACTCGCCATTGGACTTCGCCGCCAGCACTTATGACACGTTCTCTCTCCTCAAGACAGCTCGCCAAATGATCCTACCATATCGTGAGGTCGTTTTGGTAAATATGTTCAATCTCTTACAATGTATAAAAGAAAAAAATAATATAGACTTAATTAAACACGTTTTTGTTCACACATTTTTGCTCAGTATATTCATTGCGATTTTCCAAATTCCGAATTATCATTTGATTGAAGCAGATACGTAAATATCAAATAATTATATAAATTCCATCATTACCCTGCTTAAAGCATATGGACTTCCAGCTCGACATAAAATCGTTCGGCAATCGCCAGCATTAGCAACAAACAATTTATTTTTAACTACTAAAGCAGTAGTTGCAGTACACCCGGGATGGCAGTTCTTCTGAATAACTGCTCTCGATTTTCGACGAGAAATTAATTCATTCCTAAATGCAATATCAGTTTTGACAAAAGCCTCGAACAGCGCTTGATTTGGGCTGTATACAGGCAAAAGATGATTCTTTTTCAATGCAACTAACTAAACCCACATGCAAAACATGATTAAAAAAAATAAAAAATAAAATAAATTGATTTTCACCTGTGCATGGAAAGTAGATTACACAAAAATCGAGGTAAGGCCCCAGCCGAAAATTCAGCGGCTTCAGCACCTGCGCGTGGTAAAAGAATATTTTAAAACTGTATCTTCGCAATTAATGCCATATTATGGATTATTCTAAAAATAAATAAATAAATACATACCTCGATGACCATCCAAGATCCCGAAAAAATATACATCACTTTGATTGCAAAATTTCGGTATCATAAAGTGCGTGTCCTCCATAGTTTCCCTTCTCCCACAAGTTGAGAAGGATCCATAGGACAACATAGGACAATACGAACCATCGTTCGAAGATAGCCACTTGGGCCCCACATTTTCGGGTGAAAGTGAAAGATGCAAATTATCTGGAAAGTTCCGGCCTTTGTCTAACCAATTTGGGGTTGGTTCATAACTTCTCGTCTCGGTTTTATCCAAATGGTCATGTGATCTAACGGATTCTGTAGAGTTTTCTTCTTTTTCTCTACATTCTGACATCAGATGGAGTTCAGACACTATATCATCGAAAGACGGTCGAATCTGAGGATTTGAATCCCAACATCTTTTTATTAAAGAGAGAAAAGCAATTGATGCGCCTGTTCTTTTACTAGCAAGAACTGGTCGTAATTCTTCAGATACAACAGCTGCTGTAAGTTGCTGTTCGGTGTAGTTCATTTCCAAGACTGTATGTGCCTGCAAAAGGTTTTTTTTTTTTTTTTTNCCTGCAAAATGTTTTTTTTTTTTTTTTTTAAATTTCTATGAATAAATATAGCCAAAAGAGTTTCATTATTAACTTTGGTGTTTTACGGTGATGTATCGAAAGGTAAAAATGATGAGGAAAAAACCTTTCTTTGTAAAACACTCCATATTAGATTAAAATGCATTAGAACAGTGAACTTACCTTTTAATAAAGATTTTAGATTACAAATATATATGAGCAAATGGTGAAAAATAGAAATAACCTGTGCCTCTGCTCGAAGATCAGTATAAGGGACTACACCCGTAAGAAGCTCACTGCAATACACAGTTAATTAATAAAAACTCACATTATGTTTTCATTAATATAGCTAAACAACACTTTTTTATTCAGCCTCCATTTCATGAAGTGGGGCCTGAAAATGTAGAGGAAAGATGAATGAAGCTATTTACATGACTTTACAAAAACCTAATTCTTACTTAACAGTCACTCCAAAGCTGTACACATCTGATTTTTCGGTATGAACCTCTTTCCTCAGTACTTCAGGAGCCATGTAAATAATCGTTCCAACCATATTTTTCTTATGAAAACCGCCAGTTGGTTTGCCAGAGGATTTCCAGTTTCTCAAAGAAACTTGTTGAAGGTCTTTCTTATGTTCGGCTAAACCAAAGTCCGCGAGATGAGGAAGAAGATTCTCGTTAAGCTGCATTTATGCGAACAGGTAAAACATCAAACTTTCATGAAAATTTTAGTTGAATATCAGGAGATTAAAAGATATTACAAGAATATTTGATGGTTTTACATCCCTATGTATAATTCCCAGGCTATGCAGATATTGCAGAGCTTTTGCTGCAAATAGAAAGCATGAGCAATGTTAATTTACGAATCCAAAGTTAATTCGTAACAACTAACATATACTTGAACAGTAATAATGGAACAGAACTGAACAAACGATTCCTAAGAACAAAATCCATCAGAATTTAAGAATTGGTATAGAATCAAGTCATAATAAGGAAGCAACTCCTCAAAAATTTATTACTCAACGTGTAAGATCACAAAATTCAAATTCAAAGCACTGAAAACACCGGCTGCTTTTACAAACAAAAAAAATCATGCAAAAAGACATTTAATAATTAATGGCATGGTTTTCAAGAAAACAAAAAAAATAAACTAACTACCATTACATAACTATCATTTCATCCAATCAATCATGGTAACATGTATACCTAAATGAATAGCAATTTCAATCGCTTGACCAATGCTCGGACTCCATTCTTCCACATGCAGTTTTTGCGCAAGATTTCCAGCCTCGTAAAATTCAAAGAAAAACATATAATTTGGCGGCCTAGCATGAGCTGCCACAAGCTTTAATATTCCTGGGTGATTCAACTTGCTTCAGCAATAACATAAGACACAGGGTAGAAAAAAAGGAAATTCAAAATTATGCTCTAAAATGACAAGGTTTCCCATAAATTGATATTACATGATATCTAACAACTAGATCAAGAAGAAAAAGGCATTAGAAAATAATGTAATGGCATGGAAGCTCGAGAACTCACAGCCCAGAGAGATCATTTGGAGGCCAAAAAAAGGGATAGTTTGATCTAATATTCAATTCCATTTTGTTTTTAACAAAATATAAAAGTTCCTTTTGTTGCGTGTTGGTAAGAAAACAGACCCTTTAAGTATTGAGATAAATATGTTCAGAGATTTTACCTCAACTTCCCAAATTATGAACAAAAATAAAAAATCCACAGATATTCTTACAACATTCCAAATTTCTGTATTCATATAGGTAATTTCCACTTGTTCATGAAAGACATCTTCATACAACCTTCCCCAAAAATGAACTATCAAATGATTTAAACAGCTCAAACACGAAAACTCAAGCACGAAAATTCATTAAACAACCAGAAAACCAATAAAGATAAGATCTTTACTCCGTTTATCATAGTTTCCACCCAAAAACAAACTTCAGCTAAATCAGAAAAGAGAAGATAGTAAAACCTGAGCAGCTGCAACTCTTTGTGGAACTTATCTAGGTCACCGGAAGTAGACAAAACGGGCTTCTTGACGGCCACTTTCTTCCCATCAAGAACCCCTTCGTACACCACACTTTCTGCACCTGAATCAGCTCCCAACAAAAAAGAAAAAAATCAAAAAGATTTTAGGAAAAGGTAAAAACGGGATTGAGAAAACCAAATAGAGCAAAAGGGCACATGACTGTGACGATTTCGTGCACCTTTGGCGATTGGGGAAGAAATTGAATAAGAACACGTGCGGAGATGGAAAGGGATTGTGTGGCTATGGCAGCAGCCACGAATGCAAGTATTTGGCTCCATAATCTCTAGCCCCATTTTCTCTCTTCTTGCTTTGATTTGGACCCCTTTCGCTTGAAATCTTGGAAAGCCGATCACAGCTCGCAAGCTCGGATCTTTCGTCGGCTTACAGAGATGGAACTCTTCGTTCAGGATTTATGATTTTTGTTCATAATATATGTTGTAAAATAAAATGATAAATACATAAATATTTTGAGAGCAATAAATAAGTTGTATTGTATCACATTCTCATGGATATCAGGATATCTTAAATTTGTGTATAATAAACAACACGACTCATTCAAGTTGAGTGATTCATTTAATAAACGACAGGTTTGGCTTAGCTCGTTAAACTTGAGAGCAGGCGCTTTTCAATTTTTATCGTAACTTGGCTCGGACTCAAGTTTGTCTAGTCAATATTGACAAATGAGTCTAAACTGAGCATGTTTATCGAATTGATAAATGTTACAATTAGAGCTTGAATACGAAAATCTCGAACTGGGCTCGACCTGTTAACTACCTAATTTAATTTTATGACCTACTGTTGAAATCATATGTTGCACTTTTTTTTTTGTGTGTGCATTGATTTAATATTTATTACATTTAGCTACTTCTTGATATTTTCTACATGATATTTTGGTGTGTTATTCAAATCCAATACTATATAATGCAAGAACAACAGTCATGTAAATCAACTTGAGTTGTATTAAATACTGAAAAAATAATTACATTCAATCCATCACTAGTATATACCTCGTGCGATGCACGGGACAAAAATATTAAATGAGTTACTTTTACAGACTTGGTCCGTTTAAGTCTAAAAAATAATAAGATTATTATTTATTTTCTACCTCTCTTTTAATGAGCGTTAAGTCTAAGAAACAATAGAATTATAATTTATTTTTCGTCTCTCGCTATATTAAAAAAAGAAAGGCTTTAAACTATATTTTATACTATATTATTATTATTTATAATTAATCATGTTTAATTATAAATATTTATGAAATTAGTATTTTGTCAAATAAATAAATATAAATATTTTAAATGTGAGGAATCACCAGTTCCAATTAATCAAAATATATAAATAGGATTGTATAAAAAATAAGGGAAAATACCAACAAAAAGGGATCGATTGAAAGTTTTATTATCATTTATAAAAATTATATCACAACTAAACAAATAATATTAAAGTATTTAAAAGAATAAATTGACTCAAATAATTGAACCTATTCATATAATATATTTTTAAAATAATAATAAAGTTTACTTTATATACTCAAGTAAATTATAATTAATGTATCCTTTAGAATTTATGTTTATTTTAAACTAATTAATAAGTTATGGAAATAACTCATCTATCTATATATAAAAAAGTTGTTGAATAAATCATTTTTAGAAACTTTTGATCAAATAAATAATACCTTTGACATTCTGTTTATAGAAAGCTTGAAAACAATAATTGTGTGTTTATTATCACAGAAAAATCACAATTTGAATTCAAAATTAATGGTGTAGAGATAATATTGGAACAATAATTATTGGATAACTCATGATGGAAAATCTAATCACTTAAGAGTAATCATATTTTGAATTCAACGTACCTTTATTCAAAAAGTCTAAAATATGTCCACATCTTAACTAATTAATTTATTTTATCTATATATATATATATATATATATATAAAATAAAAATTACCATTTACCAAAAATAGTACCAAAAAAATATATCAGAATTTAATGCAGCTTATAAATAGTAAATTATTATTTTTTTCTTTAAAAATCATACAACATTAAATTTAACCTTAAATTTCGGGTTTTCTTCACTTTATTATTTAAAAAATCCGGCTATAATTTATTAAGTGTGTATGTTTTTGTTTTTATTTTTTTCTTAGAAATAACGAACAACATTAAAATCTCGGTCTCTATATTTATAAAATCTCAATTCAAAATATAACAAAACTTTTAGAATCTCGGTCTTTATATTTGTGCCTTTACAAAAATATATTGAACGCAAAAAATATTCTTAAATTGCATAATCAATCAATTAATCTTAATTTTTTGAAAGTTACTATTTTTATTTTTTATTAATATGCATAAAGTAAAAATAATTACTTCATATTTAGATATATAATTTATAATCTTAATATAATACCATTTGGTGTAGACATTTATTATATGAATCATAAAATATTTTTATTTCATAAAATTAAATATATTTAAAGAAAATAAGAAAATTTCTTCGGATCAATCGGGTGATTGAATTAGGGTACTGCCCAGGTTGATTAAATTACTTTTAGGTGATATTTAAGATAGTCAAAAAAAAATTTGACACAACATAGTTGATCCCAGGTGACTAAGTTATGTATCAGTTCGACCACACCAAATCGATTATTGAACCTAAATATAAATTTTATATTGAAAATATTTTATTACGTGAATGTGATGTAGTCCAAACTTCAAATAATCGTATTAACAATACTTTTATGACAACATGTTTAATGATTTATGAATACTTATATATCATTTTATTAATATTTATGTGAATTAAATAATATTTTATTATAAATATAATGTACAGTAAATATAAGGTTTTTAGAACTGGACCATCATCGAAACGATCAAGCTATTTTATTAAATCATTTGTGGTTTGTTCAGATTTTAATTTATAAACATTTTAATATATATATATATATATATATATAGTACTTTTTGTAACAAATTTAAATAAAATGTGTTACTTAGATATCTAAACAATTTATAAATTCAAATGTTTAAACTAATTGATAAATAATTTATAAATCTCTATTTTATTTAAATATTTAATTTTATGTAAAATAATTCTAAATATAACAAAATTTATTTAGAAAATCGTATCGATCCTACCAGTCCAACCGACTGGTATTGACATATTCGAGAGCAAATATTTTATTCGAGCGAACTAGACTGGTTATAAACAGGTTCTCGGTGCATCCGGTCGGACTGTGTCCAACCGGTTTAATTTAAAAACAATGGATAAATCATGATTAATGTTAATTATATATTTAATTTACAATACAATCGTAATATTGTTTTTCCGTGCATCGCACGGGCCACGCACTAGTTTAATTAAAATACTTGATGGAAACAGAATGCATTAATTACCTTTGACTTTTCTGCCTACTATTTCTAGTAAATAGGATGGCTTTTTATATAAGTATAGATTTGGAGTGGAGAACTATAATCGAAACAGGTGTTTCTTCATGAAAAACTTATTATGCTCACTCTTCTTCGTAAATGTATCCTCTAAAGCCTTTTCACAGGGCGTGGACAAAGTTCTCATTCTTGAATGCATACTTATACTCTTTGGACAAACAATAATAGATTGTTCCACATACTAAGTAATTGATATTCCTCGTCAACGTCGTATGTCTTGTCTTTTTCAATGGAATGCTGAAAAAGAGAATCCAACACTTCGCTTTGCCACATACCAAAAAGGTTGGTCCCATCGAAGATCTCTATCAGGAGTCTGACATTCGGCAACACAATCCTTGTTGGAATGAGTGCGAAGGACGATGTGCCCTTTATCTTCCTAGCTATCTCGAACTCGAATGCAATGCTCTCCTCACAATGCCTAGGACGAACCTTCGGCTCTTGTACCACTTGTTAGGGTATCAACAAGCGCAGCGGAAAAATACTCTCACAATAAATAGAGGAAAACACTACTACTAACGAAAATAAGTCAACAAAAATAAACAAAAGACGAGAAAGAAAAAGAACACACAAAATTGAAAATGGGGTTTGGCCAATATTGTCTCCGTCTTCAGGCACCGCCAACCGCAATGTCAAATTCACTAAACTCACCAGCAAAATACAACTAGAGTTAAATAGCCTATAAATTAGGACTTCCTTCTATGATATGAGAGAAAAAAGAATAAGGTGCAATTGTGACACAAAGTCAAGTGACCTATTTATATTAAAGACATCTTACACATTTTTAGTACATATCCGATGTGAGAACAAAACATTAATCACAATTTAAGAACCTACATATCAATAGAGGTTAGACATTTTTCTTCGTGAAATGAGTATGATCAAGATTGGCTCCGCTCGCCTCCCTATGAAGGACATACGAGTTAATATGCCCATCAACTGATGTGGCAGAAAATTAACATACCTTACATGGTGGCGATGGTGTTCAAAGATCTTGATATATAGCTGTGGGCGCATATTAATATGCCAACTGTGGATAGATGATGTGATGGTTGTTTTTAATTAATTCTTTCATATTATTTTTGTGTTTAACCCAACTACAAATTTATAATAGAACCACTAGCATTTGTTATTCCAATATGTGATTCTTGCAACATGCATGAAGACTATCTTCTTCTATAACTTATCTTTTCCAAATTATATGTAGAACTTTTGCGTTAATAAATTCTATACTCCATTCCCCTGACTTAGACATTGTTCAATTTCTCAAGATCCACCAAATGAAGAAAAAAAAGTTATCTATTCACACACAACTATTTTAACGATAGAGCTTGTGGACATATCCACCAATAATAAAACTACTTTAACATAATAGCTAGACATAAAGTATGATAGAAAATGATGTATATGTTTAGTGGTTGTTGATTTTGAAAGTGATGTGATGTGCAAATTAAAAGGATCGTGACAGATGTTATTATGTCAAAGTTTATATCATCCTCTATGTCACTGTAGTTTAATTGTATCCATCAATAGCCGAACTTGCACAAAACTAACCCTATCATCAACCACCCAACACACAACCTAACTTCTCACCTTATCATCCTCATCACGGGACTCGACATCCTTACTCTCCATAGCCTCCCCGATCGGTTTGTAAGTGTAGCACCACGCACACGCCGCGTAGTACACAAGATTCACTGCTTGCACGCCTGTCACCAACCAATAGTAATTTTCAAGCTTCCCCCGATTCAAATTCCTATCTGGCAACCAGTTCCCTTTACTCCCCGTGCACCCGTGCACCAAGCTCACCATACCCGTGCTCAAATAGTTCCCGGCTGCGATCGCGATCCAGTAAAGCGCGGACGCCGTGCTCCGCATGCTCTCGGGCGACTGGTCGTACAGAAACTCCATGTGCCCGACTGCCATAAAAACCTCCGACAGCCCATGCACGCAGTACTGTGGCACCAGCCAAAACACGCTAATCGGCACCACTGCAGTCGGCCGGTCGAGCAGCCCGTACTCCGCGGCCACATTCTTTCGTCTTATCTCAACAAGGGCCGAGACAATGCTCCCGAAAATGCTAATGGCGTAGCCGATTCCCATCCTCTGGAGGGAAGTGATCCCGACCGGGTTGGAGGTGAGGCGGCGTGCGAGGGGGAGGAGGAGTCGATCGTAGAGCGGCAGGGTGACGAGAACGGTGAGGATGGAGAAGATCGACATCGAGGCCGGGGGTATTTGAAATGAAGGGGACAGGTGGCGGTCCATGGTGCGTGCCTGTTGGATCGTGAAGCTGCCGAGGTGTGCGTGGGAGGCGACGAGGAGGACGGCGGCCGACCATATGGGTAGGATTCGGACGATGGTCTTGAGCTCCTCCACGCGATGGATGGTCGACAATCGCCATGGGTTGGGCCGGCTGGGGGATTTCATGTCGGAGGGTGACGAAAGCACGGCCGCGCGATCGAGACACCTAAATTGGTCCGAATGCAGAAGCGTCCCGTCGATTGATATACGCGCATCGAGAGCTCTGTTTCGGTACAACAAATTAGGATCGCTCGGTATATCGATTTTTCTCTTCCGAAAAGCCGCGACGGCCACCTGCGCGACCCGGACATATGGACTCCCCCCGGGCTGGATCTTTCGGTACAACGACGACCCGACTACGAAAGCCACCAACGACAAGGCCATGGCGATGGTGGGAATGCCGAGGCCCCACGACCAGCTAATGTTGTCCTGAACATAAACGACGACAGTGAGGGCGAGGAGGGAGGCCGCTCCCATGGAGAAGAAGTACCAATTGAAGAAGTTCCATGCAGTCGGGTCGGTTTTCTGCTTGGCCATGTCGAATTGGTCGGCCGCAAAGGTGGCGACGCACGGGCGAAGGCCGCCGGTGCCGAGGGAGGTGAGGAGGAGGCCGGTGTAGAGGACCCACAACTGGCGGTCGGAGGCCTCCCGACAGTCGACTTGGGTGGGGCACGGCGGGGGACGCAGTTGGGGCAGGATGGACGACGTTGTGATTGTTATCATTCCCTGTTAAAAAAGCAGTACAAAAACAGANCCATGTAGATGAAGAAAAAAGTAACAAAATAAAAAAAATATTATCCAACTCAACAAACAAGCCAGTCACTTGACCGACGGACTTCTCCCATTAAAAGTACTTAATATGAGGATTTTTTTCCATTGTTCTTTTGTTAAAATCAACCTAATTAATGAATTGCTTATGGTATGTTTGAGCAACCTAATTATTTTGGTGGAGCAACATTTGCCCTTCCCTCCAATTTCCCAAGTCAACTGCCATGTAGACAGAGGAAAAAAAATAACAAAATAAAAAGGTAATATTCAAATCAGCAAATCAGTCACCTAGATTGACCGACTTTTCTCAATAAATGGACTTAAATCAAGTTTTTTTTCCAAAGTTGTTTATTTATCAATGCTATATAAATTACGAAATCTCCAATTTTTCGAAAACAAGATGCCTGTTTTTTTAAAGAGAGATTGGAGAGACCATTAAGTAGAAAATGGAGCCGATGACGATGGTCCAAAACCGGCCAGCAATGGAGTCGGCTAAGAAGGCTCCGATGAGTGGGGTGAAGTTGGAGGTGCCGCCAAAATTGGAAAGGGTGTTGGAGGCCTTGACGAGGGGCAGGTTGAGGACTTGAGTGAGGTACGTGATCATGTTGGCATGAAATCCGGCGCCGGCAAATCGGTCACATATTTCATTTGCTGTTGGTTGTGTATTTGTGTGAAGATGATGAACAACAATTGCATTATTGTGTTAGTCAAATTGATGTTGGATTGAGTCAAATTGATTCAATTACTCATGCTTGTTTATGAAATAATTCATTTCACATTCAAAATCTAATTCAACTTTAACTCAACCATACTATCATTTATATTATTTATATAATTAAATATTATAAACCAATCATTCTTACATATCACATCAACTTTAATTCATTATTCATCCACTCACATAATTTTAACTACCTATCATTTCCAATCATTTATATCCTACTTTTACTTAAAATTATTAATAATTATTTTATTTTAAATATTATTTTAATATATTATCAAAATCTCACTAATAATTAACCATACTACCCTCTTCAAAATTAACTATAGTTAACTAAAATAACTCATTTTGAATAAAATATTTCATAAACAAGCACGCTTTGAGAGAAAAATATTGCTATTCTAAATCCTTACTTCCAAATAGGCCGTTGTTGAAAAAAAAAATATTTATTTGGGTCATAGATACAATAAATCGACAAATTGATCGAAGACGTTGCATTAATTGATCAAATCATCTCTTTTGATACCATCCAACTAGTACGAATCCCGTGCGATGCACGGGTAAGAGATATTCATTAATATTTATAAATTAAAATACTAATTAAATAATATTTATAAATTAAAAATATGAAAACAATATGTAATAAAAAATATTAATGTATTAAGATGTTATATAAAATTTAAATTGTGCACAATTACATAAAACATGTCTATTTAAAATCAGTACACAACCCGCACGGTGCACGTAACTTATAGTAAGTCATATTATATTCATTTCAAAATAAGTGTTATTTTAAAATTTTTATTTTGAAATTAGATTTGACTAAAATGTAATTCTATAAAATAATTATTTTGATAAAATTATATATTTGAATCGAGGTTGATAGAATGAGTAAAACCATTAGTAAAAGTATTTAAAATAAAAATTTATTTGAATTTTTTATTGTTGGCGGTAAACTATTATAGTTGTCCAACCATTAATTTAATGTTTTACTTCCTTTTTTAAACTTCTTAAACAATGGTGGAAAACAATAAATTTAATCAATTTTATGAAATATATAAATTAATGTCCCTGCAACTTATTTTGGATAATATATCTTCTAACTTGATATACAAATAATTTTTTTTTTCTCAAATTGTTTATATGTATCTACTTACAAATGAATTCACTCAAAATTTTACAGCATACAGAGACCAATTCAATTCCAAATTAGAAAATCACATCACCTTAATTTTATAACAAATAAACTAATTCAAGTTTCATACCCATACCAAATAAAATTAATACCAATTATTTATTTTTTTTTTAATTTTCAAATACATTTCTATCCATACCAAGTAAATTCAGACATTTCATACTAAAATAAAATCGCCCACTTTGTAGCATAAAATTTAGACATTTTATTAATAACAACACGTTTCCTATGCCATTTAATTGGTAAATTATTTTTTTCTTGGAAACACTTCCAAATGCATTTTGATGATGTTTCATACCAAAAATTGAATAACCCAATAAAATTCCATACCAAAATATTTCGTCCACTTTATACTATAAATTACTTTAGTAATTTTTCAATATAGTAAATAATATTTTTTTGCGGGAAACAGTTACTATTTTAAAAATAATCAAACCTTTATATATATATATATACGTTAGTATTTTATTCTGGTGAAGTTACTAGTGCATCATATTTGATCAATTTATCAAATTATTGTATCTCCTTTGATATGACTCAAATAAATTTCTTCTCTACTAACGGTCGAGGTGTATTTAAAAAAAATAAAAAATAAAAAATTGGGCCTTACTTGCATGTTCTGAGATGCAAATTTAAGTAGATGTTTGGTGACAAAGTTTGGCAAGAAAATTAAAGTAAACTAACTCTAATGCTCACTCACACACAACAAATGAATATAATTTTGGAATCAACAAAAATCATATGAAGTGAGCTTACCAAGGATGAATGGCATTGTTCTTACACCTCCAAGCTGCTTTTTCTTGCCATTGAATTCCTTCCTTTTCTCCTCACCATCTTCAGAAATTACTTTCTTTTCTAACTCAAACTTCTCCATTGTTCAAGTTGTGATATATATGCAGTTAGCATACAGAAGCACCACTATTTATAACCAGTTTTGTGAGCATAAATAATATTATAAACTTCTTTTTTTTTTTTTTTTCTTTTTATCAATTTTCTTGATAAATAATAAAATAGAATAGTGAATAATACAGCACCAGTAATTGGTGGGGACAATCTTTGATTTTATTGGCATGCATGTGAATGTGACTGCCTCTATTAAAATAAATGTTCAAGCTTCTTTTTGAGGTTGTCCATTTTATTTGGACAGGAAAATGCAGTCAAAGTGGGAATAGTTATTAATTTTGCAGATGTTTCAACCAATAAGAGGAGAAATTATGAGGTAATGCATTTAAAAATAAGAAGGAAAAAAAAAAAGGCATTTCAACATATTTGAGATGGGATATCATACCTAAGGGAGTAAACCAGTCGAGTATGCCGAACTAGCTTCCCAGTCGAGCAGAATCAGATGGGGTGGCATGGTCGAGCACCACAGGATAAAGAGCCTTCTATATGGAAGATAGTAAGGGGTTCAGTACAGTGAGTACAGGTCGAGCCAGGACCATCAGATGGCCTGGTCGAAGCTCGATCTGTAGTTGCAAATGGTCGTTCGTTCGACCACCACTCAGACTTGGAGCAGTCAACGATTCACCTCAATCGACCTAGAGCTAGTCAGATTATTAAGCAGTCTATTCAAGAGAATTAAGCCTTACGGGGGCCAAACCACGTGGCACCATATCATTGGTCCATCCTCGTAACCGTCTTCGACACATTCTGACAAAGATATTATATAATATCGGGCAGCTGGGGCAGCCAGCTCACCATATCCGGGCAGTCTTCTAGAAGCAGGTAAGTCACCCCCTATAAATAGAGGTAAGATGTGTGAATTTATCTCATCACATCATATACAATATACTTTCTGCAAATCATCTTCTACATATACTTATTTAAGCGTCGGAGAATCTTCATCAGAGAACCCCTCCGGTGTGGAAATTTTTGCAGGTCGAAGGTGTTCCACCGGCAAAGGAGCACGCGAGCAAACCGATTCCAGCCGGTCGAGGGTTTTTTCGTACCAATATTAATTATCAGTGTCGCTCTTTTGTCGAGCAATTGATGTGGCAAAAAATTAGCAGATCAATGAATATGTGATTGTCTGATTGAAAGATTAATTACGATATTTTAATGGGCAAATTTTAATGTGTCACGATGGATATGCCACAATTTCTTATATAATTAAAATACTTGCACTAGCTAATACTTTGAAGTTTGAATGGAACATAAGATATCCATGATGCATGTAACTTTCTAAGTTATAATAAATAAGCTATCAATCTATGGATATCTTACCTACAACTTCTCATAGGACATATATGATTGCCATTTGTATATGTTTGATTAATATAGTTTTCATTTTTTTTATATGCGTACATATAGACTGTCTGTCTCAGTCTCAACATCCCTTATGTGTGCCTACCAATAACATATATATCATATCACATATTTTTGTATGAGACGATAACCATTAGAAGAATCGATTCATCGTACTACTATAATGAAAAAATCGTATTTATGATATGGAATATCATATATATTTAGTTTATGTTATTTTTCAAATGATGACATTTCAATTTGAACATATACATATATATTAAGAAATGTAAATAACCTTGCATGGGCGATACAGTAATTTCGCTAGACAAATTGCTGAGTTTGGTGACATATTTGCTTACGTAAGAACGCACCAATGGTTGATTGCAAGAACCTTGTCCTGTCCTCTCTGTGGCTCGCCAGTCCTTACCTAAAAAGCCAAGTGTATTTCTGAGCTCCACAAAATTAAGGTTCGGACAAGTTAGGTACCATTATTCAGGCTCGGATGAGCTCGGTTATGGGTAGTGCCCACATGGGTTTATTATCTATCATGATTTCTTTCATCAACAGATAGCCACATGACATAACTCACCAAATCTTTACCTCAAAGGCCAAGTGTATTTCTGAGTCCCACAAAATTTAGGTTCGGACAAGTTGGGTACCATTATTCAGGCTCGGATTAGCTGGTACCATCGGTTAATTTCGTCCTACTCGAACGCGTAGTACCAAGTTCATTATTGTTTGATCAACATATACTCGCATGGCATGACTTGCTAGATCTTTACCTAAAGGCCAATTGTATATCTAAGCTCCCCATAAGGGATTTACTACTATTGAATCAATACACACTCACAATGAATCTAAGGAGTGAAGATAAACAAGATTCACAACTACTAATAAATATTTAATTCACACATAGTTTTAAGAATCATTCATAAGAAACCCATTTCATATCCATTTCCCATTATTACCACAAATCAGCCTGAAGTTTATAACACAATCGCTAAAACTAAAACATCCCACAAAACACAGAGAAAGATATATACATATATATAGGATGTTCAGAATTAAGTCTTATTGTGAGAACCACTATTTTTAATTGTACGTAGTGCTATGATTGGTTGTGTTTGGTGCTATTTTTAACCAAGATGAATTTTATTAAAAATAGCAACACAATTTATATTAGAATTTATGAAAATGATAGCATCATCCAACATTAAAAATAGTATCATATACAATTAAAAGTAGCATCAAATATGGTTTTTACGGTTCTCATACCAGGACTAGTTTTTATTTGAACCAGCCCTTATATATATACATATATATATATATATATATGGAAAACTCCAAAATTTTATCATTACTTCATGTCTGGGTTAACAAGTCTAATCGCTACATAGACCTCACAGTTCGATACAATGTATAAGTTACTAGCTACTAAGGTAAGATCTAGAGAGTAAAAGACA